AAAGCTGATGCAAAGCACCGTCGATTGTTTGGGGAGGGAGTGGGGGACACCATTTTTCATTGCTCCCCTAAGAAGATATAAGTGTGCCTGTGTTACAAACACCGTTCCTTATTTGCTAGATTTCTACTTGCAGGGATTTTTTTAAAGTGTTTTTTTTTCTTCCCTGTGCAATTCCGTGCAGTGTTCTGTTCAAGGCGAGGTTCGCAGGTGGCAGGCGGAGAGAAACAAGCCCAAGAAAGATTGAGTTTGAAAACGGGCTGGATCTGTCTTGGGGGGTATGCTGGAAAAAACTCCCCCCTAACCTCCCCATGCATCACTATGGGGAGGAAGTTGGGCAGGGACTCAGAATGCTGCAGACCCCTCCGTTGTAAGCCCCCCTCCCAGTCATGTGACCTAGAGCTGAGCCTAGACACCCCCCCCAGTCCTTTCCAGGGCACACCTACACACAAACGTGCACACTGTGCAACACAGACGCCACCCCGATTAGACTCTCAAACTCCCCCAGAGCACCTTCCGTCATTACGCAGAAGAAAGTACAGTGGCCCCCGTGGGCAGCTCCAGTAAGGGGTGGGGAAAAAATGCACGGGCCAGATTCCGCAGGCTTGCCCTACCGCGTTTAGATGCGAGCGTGTCTTTACGCACGCGCCGTTTCCCCCCCTTTGCTTCAAACAGCGGAAAGCCCGGGATCCCCATCCGTTAATGGGAGCGCTTCGGCTGTGCCTGGAATTGGCAGTCCTGCTGCAACCTTGGGAACTGTTGCAACTGCAAAAGCTGGAACAACAAGCAACGGTAAATTATCGGCGGCGCCAGAGATTTCTAAGATGCCCAACGGATCGCTGACGACCACGATGCCCAAAACTACAGGGGTCCCAAGGAGCTCCACTGCTCCGTCCTCGAGTAGCAGCGTCACAGCTCACCCAGGCTCCAAGATTCTGCCTTCGGCTGCCTCCACAGCGACCTCAGTGCCTGGGGAGGATCACGTCCCATCTCCTTCCAGCGGGGCAGACGTCACTTCAGTGCACGTGCAGAAGAAGGTAAACAGATGGCCGGGGTACCACCTGGTGAGACTTCAAAGGCAGGTGCATGGGGACAAGGCACAGAAATGTTGGTCTGTTGCTAACGATCCAGTGTTTACCATTTGCTGCATACATGTGGGCAAGAGCTGACACTTGCCTGGCCCCCCAAAAAGGGGAGGGGGGCCTTTGTTGAACGTCGTTGAACATATGTACTTGTAGCTGCGCAGTGTTTTAGTGACTCATGGCACTTTGGATCCTGAAGCGGGGTTCACGTAGCCCTTGTTGGCAACTCTCATGCCATGCCAAAAAAAGACACGGCTGCTTTAAAGAGTTGCCGATGGTCAAATTGAAATAGAAATTCAGTACCACACCCCATAAAGAGCTGGGGTTTCCTAGGAAGCTGTTCTCTAGAGTGAAGCCTTGATGTAATGAGGATGTGCTCCGGGGGGTCCTTTCACTTCAGGCGTCTGCAAACTGTTGGTCCTCTCCTGAACTGCAGGCTGTTCTCCGCAGGGCAAATAACAGATCACCGTTCAGAGCACCCTCGCATCAGCCGGGACAACAGCACACCCGTTCCAGCTGTGCAAGCGAAGGGTGCTGGTCTACCTTGGTCTCGTGCATGCAGACAAATAGTCCAGCTTGTCCCTTGGGGGGATCAGAAAGGGACAGTGCAGATTTAACACAAAAGCAATGCAAAACATTAGAGCAGACAATGAATAGCCTCTGCAATGTTGTTTTCCTAGGAAAAAAATGAGGGCTGGGAGGAACATGTGCGAGAGAGAATTGACAGGAAGGACAAAGAGTGTGGCTGTTCCCTTAGCATCCCAAAATAGCCCTGGCTCTGTGTGTGTGTGTTTGTGTGTGTGTGTGTGTGTGAGAGAGAGAGAGAGAGAGAACAGGACAAGTGGAATGAGACAATGCATTGAGGAGAATCAGTGGCAAGAATGAACTAAGCCTTTATTTCTCCCGTTGGTCCTCTGTTAAGTGCTTCTGCATACCCCAAATATTGAGTTTAAGAAGGAGTAGAAGATTAAAAAAAACTATCAATGGCTTCTTGTCATTGCAAGTAGATGGAACCTCACTGTTCAGAGGTAGTATATCTGGGATTTTGGAGAAATTATGTAGAAAAAGAGTTTTAGAGTTTTCCGGAAGTGCCTTCTCTCTTATCTAGTGGCACGCTAACGGCCTTAAAATCAGTTTTATTCCTAGGAACGTTGTACTTATATGCATCTGTGCATTTGCACAAGGGGGCTATAACTGTAAGATGAACTGTGGAGAAATGCTGTGTGTTGCACCAAAGCTGTGGCGGAAGAAAAAGTGAAATCGGTGAAACTTACGAGGAGCTAGGCTTTCTTTCAGCCAAAGAGTACCTTAGTTTTTGTGATTGCTCAGCAGGGCGCACATTCTCACCCAGCTGCCTTTTTTTTCCAGATTGTTTGTGAGAACGTGATGCCCTACAAAAGCCACGCGATCATTCTGACCTTAAACGAGTCGAGGCCTTGTGTAAGTATCTCCTAAAGCATTTCGGTTGTAGCTGCTCTTCTATAAAAGCCCCTGAGCATTTGCACTTACTTTCATAATCGCCTGTAAGTGTGCAGCTTACACAATCTCGGCGTGCTTTTGTAGCCCACTGATGCATGATCTGGAGTGTTCAAAGTAACGTGCGTGCAAAAGGAAGCATCACTGGAGTGAATCCTCCAGACATCGTCTTTAGTGTGCACCAAGCTTCCTGCCCCATCTGACCCTTTTTTAAGTGAAAATATAAATTATAAAGCTGTCAGCAAAAGTCCTTCTGGGTTGGTACGAAACAGTCTACCCTTCAAAACAGCTGTTTTGTGAATGCTTCACAGCCACGTGCTTCAAAATTCCCAGGGTGTCTTTGGCCCAAAGAGATTGGTTCTGCCTTGCCTTAGCCACACACAGCTGATCGCATGGCAAGAATGAGATTAAAACCCAGGATGTTCAGTCTCCAACTCACCCTTCAGGGCCAACTGGCATTTTCCATGGAGGTTTTGCAACGAGAATTCTGAATTTCATTTTCCACACAGAAACTTGATTCAGATTGGGGACGCAAGGCTGGATTCCCACAATGTGCTGTGCCCCTAAACTCAGTTTAGCAAAACCCAGTTCCGGGCTTCAGTTAGCCTGCCATGCCCAAAGAACCTATATGAGGGCTTAACGTGATGGCCTGGTTCACACATCATGCCAAGAGAATACTGGCGCGGGGTTCCCACGACACCAGTATGCTGTGTGAATTCTGCCAGAGTTTGCCCTTCCTCCAGACTTAACCCTTTCTTGCACAATGATTCTCCACCATAGAGGAGTTGATTCTCAAATGGCTCTAACTGCAGAGGGAAAGGGTTGCAGATTTGGGGGTGCAGCCTAGGAAGAAAAGGTTGGTTGCTAGTATTCAGCGGCCACAGAGATTTCTCCTTTTTGGGGCAGATGGGAAGGTAGGGGGCACGAAGTTCTCACTTTCTGTCCAGGCTGCCTTCCAAGAGAAGAGCATCTCTAGCTCAGGGTTGACTTGTGGAATCCTTGATGCTCCCTGAGCTTGGTTGTCGGCTTGCTGTGATGGAATAGACTTATGAAGGCCAGGCTCAGGGAGATAAACGTGTTCTTAGCCCCCACCAGGAGCATGGAAAGTTCAAGAAGATGAGGCTGGCACCTCCCTAAGGAATTCATGGTGTTGTGGCTGGCTGGCTTGGGAAGTTAGATTCGGTCTGGAGAGATTGATGTCAGATTCAGCCCAAAGAACTCCAAGAGACAATGCAAATACAGTTCTGTTGTGTTTATTAGCTTCAACCTCCAGACAGA